CTGTATAATTTTACTATGAGAAACACATGTTGTACCTACAACATAAAAATAACATAACCTTCATTGGTAATATTTTCCTTATGGAAATGCCATAGGCTTGTTTTAGAGTCACTGAATAGTGCTTGTTCCTTCTTCAGTTTTTATATCCGTTTCTAATCTTTGCACTATTGAAAAAGAGTGGATGGAATAAAGAAAAAGAGCTCTATTTGATTTTACAGGATTTTAGTCGTTCATAGTGATGTATAGAGGAAAAGTAGAGTAGAGAAGTGGATGTGAGTGGCAGCAGGCCTTGAATCAGAGAGAGGGGTCCTGTCAGAATTAGAGTATAACCCTCAAAGGCCCAAACATAGTGTTTTATGACCAGCTATCCTCAATAAAAAAGTGTTTACTAATATCCCCATATAGTGCTAACAGCTAAGGATTAGGTTTCAAAACACAATGAGGCTTTGTATGAGCCAATTTCAAATTGTAACTTTTCACTTCACCATGAATATCCGTAGACTCAATAAAAAATTTACTATGTCCAACATCAACTGTCCTATAAGTTTTATATTCTCATTTTTAATAATCAAAAACCTCTTCAGATTTGTAACCTTTCTGCTATTAGGACTTGTAAAATCAAAATTTAATTATCTACATCTCTATTTTCTTGCCAAGATACAATGGCACACAGTGTATATTCTCATGGCAAATGAAAGAAAGAGGGGAGGGGGGTCACAGCAAAAAGATATCAGAAGAAAATAAGTTCACAACCAAGAAGGAGCTAGAATCAGTGGCAGCAGGCTGGACATCCAATGCTCTAGCTCTATGTCCAACTGTAGGAATCCCATCTTATCATCTGGATTCTAACATAGTTGGACAGTCCTGTTTATACCAACCTGATGCTTGAAAGATACATGGGATATCTTTTTGTCTGGTTAAAATTACAGTACCCAAAGTTTTTTCTGCAGACATTACATATACTTGGCATATCTAGTTTGTCATACATTCTAACTCAAGCATCATCTTCATAGTTACACACATAAAATCAGGGACTTGTATAGGAAATCTGAATCTATCATACATTTCTTCTAAAACTTGTCTTTGAAAACCTGGTGGAAAGCAGTGGTTACACTGCTCTTAGCTTCTGTGTCCCTCCAGTACTGACACTACAAAGTAGCACAGTTCAGCTGCCAATCCAAAATATAGCTGGCCTTCTTTGATCTATGGCTCCACCAGCCTTTGCATGCCTGTGTAGTTGCCTAAGAGAACTGATTCCAAGCAGGCACCCCTACAGCAGCAGCATGATTTCCAAATGTAAGATTATCAAATGCAAATGAATTTAAAACATGGAGTCCTTTATTGGCTAGGTTGTGGTCTTTGAAGCACCTTCCATGTCGTCCAGCCATTTCATATAAGTATTTGTGATCATTTTCTTGTTAGACTCTCATAATTTTCCACTCTTACTCTGCTATGCATTTTCATTAACTAAAAATCTAACTGAAAGCAGAGAGTAATCACTATTCCACAGTCTACCTGCTACATTGTTTTAAGCCACTGGTCATGTTGGTCTTGACCCCATTGGGAGTTAAGCCATACTGAAACTATCCTAAAACACAGACAAAAGGTTTATGATTCATAACAGTAGCAAAATTATGCTTAGGAAATAGCAGTGAAAATAATTTTGTGGTTAGAGGTTAGCACAACATGAATGATTGAATTAAAGTGTCATAGCATTAGGGAGGTTGAGAATCACTGTCTTGAATCTTTCACAAAGTAAATTAATCCATTACGATTGATTTCAGCCTCAATCCAATTGTCAGGACATGGAGATACCATAGCTATATTCTTGTCAGAATACAGTACAAATAGATTTATTCCAATTTCTAAATGAGACTGCACTCTGGAACTTCACAAGCAAGATCTTTACTTCTACATTTCTGTTACAAATTTGCAGTAAACACTGGAAACAAGTTCAAAGCCTAAAAAGCACACAGTCAGTGCATTGTGGATGAAATATATCACAAAAAGAAGAAAAAATATTTTTTATGTTCATTTATTATTGCATCATTGTATCAGGAAATCTATTGTATCAAGCTGAATGAAAAAAGACGTTCTTGCTCATGGCTCCTAGGAACTTCAGCCTAACTCATAAATATCTCTGTGATATAGCAATGTATGGTAGCTCTTACGTCATTATGGCATGATGAAGAAACAGAGAGCAGCACTAGGAGGACCTGGCTATGACACTTAAATGTCCACATATAAGTGCTCAACATTCAACAGTTATACATAAACACTGCTATCTGAAATGTTCCAAAATATTACCAGCTACTACCAAATGTTTAAATCAAATGAGACTGTGGATTAATTTCACATTTAAACACATTTGGAGAACATACTGAGGTGACTTTCTAGTATTGATTTTCCTAAATTTATTAAATATATTACTGTACATTCATTGTTGGTGATGTGTATTAAAGAACAGCTCCAGAAAGCAAACTTGTATTTTAAATATGCCTTTATAAGATGGCATAAATATAAAACTCATAGTTAGACTTTTGGTGAGCATTGATATTAGTCATTAGTTCATGAATATATACCAGATAAAATATACTTCATGTCAGAAACATAAACTTTAAGATTTTACGTATGTCTTACTCTGTGTGATTATAACATACGTCCTAAAAGAAAAAAATGACCCTGTATGTGTACTATCATAATCCTTTATTGCTAAGGTCATACCTAAGGTTTTCATGCAGAAATTTCAACCCTTCTACAAGTAGCTATTGACTCTCACCTGTACAACTGAGTGCTCTTCAAACTGCTTAGTAAGCAGTATTCCAGATGGCCATTGGCAATTGATTATAACTCTTCTCACAAGAGCATATGGTCTGTGGATGGTTGACAACTGTGATTTTATCAAAACTAATCAGAGCCACATAGTCATCATACAAAAGACTCACTGACAAAAGGATCAAAACCTGAGCTGACAAGGACTGTCTCTCCTGGTTTTATATTGAAGAGCTGATCACATTAACTGAAAGCATCCTTGTAAATCACAACCAATAAAAAATAAATAAGAATAAATAAATAAATCTGAGAATTCACCCATAAGAATTGACAATACTTGCTGTTTGTAGTATGTGGGTGGAGCTTTTAGTAACTAAAATATAAACATAAGTTATTGAAAATAATGTATATATATATAAATATATGAAAATGTAGAATCAATGAAAATGCTTTTTCTTTTATAAATTCTCTTTAAATCCTTACTATGCAGCCAGCAGAATGTTTCAGTGGGTTATAACACATGACAATGTGACTTCAATACTCACAAATCACAAGGTAGGTCAAAATTTACTCCCATAATTTATCCTGTGATCTCCTGATTTTTACATGTGAGCAGTGAAACATATGTATACATACACATATAATAAAGGCAACTGTAGCTATAAGAATAAAACAAGACGAGTGCCTACTCTCGAGGGCAGGAGGGTTTGGGGGAATTGTAGGAGGTGTAATTACGTATGTGAGCGACAAGATATCACAACAGCGAAGGAGTCCTGTCTGACCCAGGAAGGTTCAAGCCATGTCAAGCAAGGAACAGAAGGCCATGAAGAAAAGTGCCAAGCGCCCGAGGGTAGATAAGACCCTCCCATCAGAAGACTCCAAGAACCCAGATGCAGTCAAACCTGCGGACAATCCAGCAGTTGGTACCAGTGAGATGGGCAGCCATTCCTCAGGATCAGAAGTGCAAGAGGCCAGGGAGCCTGTTGAGAAGAGGATGCAGGATTTCGAAGGTGATGTTACCAGGTTTCTTGTGGAAAAGAGGAAGCAGTTTGAAAAGGATGTAAATGCCTCTTTCAGAAGCCTGAATGAAAACCTCCAGGGTATTTTGAAAGCTCAGCAGAAGTCAAGGCAGGAGCTTAAGTCTGTGTACTGTGAAAGGTTTGAGTCTCTGCACCAGGAGTGGCTGGATGAGGTGGACAGCACAAGGGACCAAGAAGAACACTTCAGTTTTTTAACTCAGCAGCAAATGAAGATTTTACAGATGGCTATAGTGGATCATGAAACCAAGCTTGAAAATGCGAAAGATATGTGTGACACATTTTTGAAGAAAGCCAACGACTTGAGTAAACATCGCAAAACCTTTATTGGTGGTCAGCAAACTAATGTGGAGAAGGAAATCTCCAAGGTGCAGGACAGAGTTATCATGGAAACTCAAGAACAAGATGTATCCGTTGTTGAAACATACCTTCAGTCCCTGATCCTTGACCGCTCTGAAGAAACCATCTGAAGCTCGCACATAGGATGCACAGGGAAGGGAGATTAGCCACGCTAAGAAGACATTAGTAGTAGTCAGTGCAGCTCCTTTCTCTTTACCCTGTTTGTTACAATTGAGACTGAGACTGTTAACCATTAAGTGAACCCCCAGCAGTTCTGTGAGTAGCAACAGACAGTTAAGTGTGGAACGTCCAGGCCCATGACAGCAAGGGAGATAGATACATTCTGCCCAGTAGTGGCAGTTACATTTTGGAAGCAAATGTCATTTGATTTTGTGGTTGGTTCTCTGTCACTTCCCCAAAGTGAATGTTACCTTACTTATTTTAGGAAGAAGTGAATAAAGATGGGACCCGTTAAAAAAAAAAAAAAAAAGAATAAAACAAGACAAAATAACAACAAAAAAGCAAAACTTACAAAAACAAATGCAAGTAAGCAAGCAAACAAACAAACAAAAACAAAAACAAATAACAACCTTTCCAACCATACTTTGGACTAAAAAGAGAACTCCACAGACAAAGCACTTACAACAAAAACATGAAATCCAAAATTTCTATCTGTCCTTGATAGAAACGTTAACCAAATCAGAAAGACCATTCCCCCAAAGTGGATGTTTGTTTGGTAGTAGCCAAATACAAGGTGAGAAAACATGCTGCTGTTTTTGCTGGCTGGACTTTGACTCTTCGTGGTAAGCACATCTATTTGCTTGCTGCTGAAATTTTCTGCTGATGACAGAACCCAGGTTCTTCTCCTTTCTGGTGTAGAATGAACACCAGTAGCTCTTCAAAAACACTCCTCAGAGCAGCTGAATCAACCAGCTTTGTGAAGTGCATTGTTCTCTCCTTCTCAGTCCTCCCACTATGAAGACAGCCATTTTTGAACTCACCAGAATAAACCTTGCAAGTCAATCCAATGAATATGTTGTCAGTATCTACATATTTGATTAGTTCTGCTACTCTAGAGAACCCTAATTAACAAAAGAAACGTGCTTTTAAAATTTTCCCTATTAAACATTTCATTTTTAGTGGTGATTAAACCCCTACAAAAATTCTTTTTTTATTGGATTTTTTTATTTACATTTCAGATATGATCCCCTTTTCCCATTTCCCCTCCACCCAAGAACCCTTTATCCCATCCCCTCTCCTACTACTTCTATGAGGATGTGTCCTCACTCACCTGCCCACTCTCACCTCCCAACACACAAATTCCTCAACACTGGGGCACCCAGTCTTGACTGGACGAAGGACTTCCTCTTCCACCTATGCCCAATAATACCATTTTTGCCATTCAATGCCACAGAAATTCTTATGTCGTGCATCTACTTATAAAATTCATAATCTTGGGGAAATAGACTTCTGGAAAACACGCATCCCTTTCCTGAATGTATTTATCCCAGTGAGGCCCTGAGGAGAGGATGAGGTAGTGATCAAAGATATAAGCCCCATGTACGAAAGGATGGATGCCATTTCTCCTGGCATCAACCTATTCTTTAGCTTCTTGCTTTCTTGTTGATCTAATTGCTTCCTTCTGTATTTTTTTCTTTCAGAAGCATAAGAACTAATATGTCTGCTAGGATCAGATTTCACTGGACACCTCCCCATGACAAGAAGACACCTGTGATGACATACAAACAGATCTTCCAGATAAAGGAAATGAGAAAAAGTTTATTTTTGACCAGATACTGAGTAACCATGGCCAGAGATCAAGAGTGTAGCTTTTGTCAAATATCACATGCTAATGTGACAAGAGTTTCAGGAGGTTGCTATGACAGTGCAAAGAAAATTGATAGTTAAGCAGTATTTCATATATATTGGTAGAATACCAGTTATACAGGTTTCAGCAAATTGAGGAAAAATCTACCATAGGACTCAGATACTATTTCATGGCATTCTTAGCCTTAGACTGATAGAGGTAGGGATTGTTTTGAATGTTACAAAATAATTTATGTATTCAAAATGAAGATGCTAGATCACACATATAGATAGGTGATCAATTGTTTTTAAGGATGTAAGAGACTCTATGATAAAGTATTATAACCTCACCATAATCTTACCACTTCAGCCCTTCACTCATCCTTTTAGACTGTTTAATATAGGTTCGCCAACTAGAGAAACTTTAGTTTTCACATGTGTAAGCTAAGATATAGTAATTAAGATGCAATATTTTACTATTAAATGGAAAGAGATACAAAAATTTTATGTATACATATACAATAATGTCATATGGAATCACAAATAGTACCTATGCCATTTATAATAAAATAGAACTATAAGTTAATGTTGAACCTTAAGATCATGGCTGAGAAACAGTTAAAAAAACGTTCAACATACTTAGTCATCAGGAAAATGCGAATAAAAGTGAACCTGAGATTCCACCTCACACCAGTCAAAATACTAAGATCAAAAACTCAGGTGACAGCAGATGGTGGCAAGGATGTAGACAAAGAGGAACACTCCTCCTTTGCTGGTGGGATTGCAAGCTCGTACAACCACTCTTGAAATCAGACTGGTGGTTCCTCAGAAAATTGGACATAGTACTACCTGAGTACCCAGCTATACCACTCTTGTGCATATACCCAAAAGATGCTCCAACATATAACAGGGACACATGCTCCACTGTATTCATAGCAGCTTTATTTATAATATCCAGAAGATTGAAAGAACCTAGATGTCCATCAACAGTGGAATGGATACAGAAAATGTGGTACATTTACACAATGGAGTACTACACAGCTATAAAAACAATGACTTCATGAAATTCGCAGGCAAATATATCATCCTGAAGGAGGTAATCCAGTCAAAAAAGAACACACATGGTATGCTCCCAATGATAAGTGACTATTAGGCAAAAGACTCGAATACTCATGATACAACTCACAGACCATATGAAGCTCAAAAAGAAGAAAGACCAAAGTGTGGATACTTCAGTCCTTCTCATAAGGAGGAACAAAATACTCACGGAAGGTAGAGAGTGGGAGGGACTTGGGAGGAAGAGAGGAGGGGGAAGAGAAAAAAGGGTGGAATAGGTTGGGGAGGAGACGGGATGAATGACAGAGGGTCAGTAAATTAAACAGAAGTGTGTAGCGATGGGGGATGGGGAACTCGGGGTAGCCACCAGAATGTCCCAGATGCCAGGAAAGCAAGAGGCTCCCAGGACCCAGCAGAGATGACATTAGCTGAAATACCCAACAAAGGGTAGGGAAAACATGTAGAGAACATATCCCGAGGTTAGGGAAGGCCCCCGGATTGAGGAATGGTGCCACCCACTCATCTCCAGAATTTTAACCCAGAATTGCTCCTATCTAAATGAAATGAGGGGACAAAGTGTGGAGCAGAGACTGAAGGAAAGATCGTCCAGAGACTGCTCCATCTGGGACTCCATCCCATATACAGAAACAAACACTATTGCTGATGCCAAGAAGTGCTTGCTGACAGGAGTCTGATATAGCTGTCTCCTGAGAGGCTCTGCTAGAACTTGACAAATACAGATGCGGATACTCACAGCCAACTATTGGACTGAGCAAGGGGACCCAAATGGAGGAGTTAGGGAAAGAACTGAAGGAGCTGAAGGGATTTGCAATCCCATAAGAAGAACAATATCAACCAAGCAGACCCAAACCTCAGAGTTTTCAGGGACCAAACCACCAACCAAAGAGTGCACATGGAGTGTCCCATGGCTCCAGCTGCATATGTAGCAAAAAATGAACTCATCAACAGGTAGGAGGCCTTTGGTCCTCTGTAGGCTCAATGGCCCAGTGTAGGGTAATGCCAAGGTGGTGAGGAGGGAGTAGTTTGGTAGGTAGATGAGCACCCTCATAGAAACAGAAGGAGGAATTTGAGAGGAGGGGTTGCAGAGGGAAAAACAGGAAAGTGGATAATAATTGACATGTAAATAAATAAAATATCCAATAAAAAAAGAATATGCCTCTCAAAATGTTGACTATGTAATATCCTCACATTTATGGAATTTGATGGAAGAGAGAAGATGGAAGTAAAAGAAGCACCATTTGGAATATGAAAGAGGATAAGGGATACAAATGTAAGGAACTAGAGAACTAGGGAACATATTAAAATACATAATCTTGATTCAAACATTAATTGGATCTTAGGAGGATATTACATAAATTTATTTTAGTGTTTACATTGGTGCGAAAACAGTAAAAATGTAATGTAATTTTACTCCATATATAACAATATCACCTTGTTTGATATTTATTTTATATTATTGGCCTGAATAGATTAGACAAAATCAATGTATCTGATTTGGAAACAGACTAAATGAAGGCTTCTGAAACTTTATCTACTCACAAGTTCCTTTTGCCTAAGACATTTTTAGGTGAACCTACATGTATCAACATATAACATAGAGGAAACACCAATCTAGTAGCTACTTATAATGAATCATTAGCTACTTATTTTGATATAATTATGTATACATAAAAGTTTGCAAGTATTGAAGACAAAGCAAATTTGCATCCTAATGGGATATTTTCTTGTTTTTGAATAAACTTTGACTAAATGCTTGATACTGCAAAACATAGAGACTCTTCACTGTTCTTCAGAGTTGCTGTGTGTTCTAGCTTTGTAATTATCAATGCTGCAAATTTGCTCTTTTTCAAGCACATGTAGTACAAAGGAGTAGTAAAATGTAAGAGTATCTCAGATATCCATTGGAGGGGATGAGAGCTAGCTGTGCCCTCAAAGTGTTTATTACCCAAACATGAGGAATGAGTTCAGATATATAGAACCCAAAATGCTGTTATGGCATTCTGCACCTGACATCCTAGTGCTGAAGAGGAGAAAACTGATTGACCCCACGAGCTTCCAGTGAGCCTAGATGAGTTGTTATTCTAAGATTTAAGTGGGAAATCATATCTTAAAATAATATGGAAAGAGTGACTTCTGGGCTTTATATACACGGCATACATGTGCATGCTCACTTAAATGTGTATCTGTGCATACCCATCTAGATACCCATGCACACAAATGCATAGCAACAAATACATACACACACACACACACACACACACACACACACACACACTATTGAAAATGCTGCTCTGGTTTAAAACAAATTTGTTTTGGAAAATTGTATGACATTCATGTCTATAAGACAAACAGTAATGTTTAAAATCAAACATTATAAACAGTACAATTCAAAGAAATGCTACTTTAATGCTTACATGTAAAA